ATAATATATGTGCATTCAATGACTTCATCAGACGAGCAGTTCGACGATTTCTAGAAGAAAAATTTACTATTCTTAAGCTTGAATCTGCTACTTCATGTTGTAAACGGTCCATCCCATCTTCAACTCCATGTGTCAATATGACGCCACCCACCAACTTGAGTACCATGTTAATGCGACCACATATTCCTGTGTACTTTGCAAATATGTGCCCCGCCATGGCAAAATTCCAATGAAGTCATTTTGCCAATATGAGCCCCAGTATGGTATCATGACAATGAGGCCACATATCCACGTGTACTGTGCAAATATGATTCTGACCAGTGCATCGTCCTAGTCAGGCCACATATCCACGTCTAATGTGAAAATATGAGTCTGATCAGGGTATCATGCCAATGCGGCCACATATCCACATGTACTGTGAAAATACGAGTCTCATCAGGGCATCAAACCAATAAAGCCACATATCCACGTGTACTGTGCAAATACGAGTCTCATCAGGGCATCAAACCAATAAAGCCACATATCCACGTGTACTGTGCAAATACGAGTCTCATCAGCGTATCATGTCAATGAAACCATATATCCACTTCTACTGTGCAAATATGAGTCGCATCATGGCATCATACCAATGAGGCAAAATATCCACGTGTACTGTAAAACTATGTCTCATCAGGGAATCATACCAATGAGGCAAAATATTCAAGTGTATTGTGTAAATGTGAGTATGATCAGGGCATCATGCCAATGAGGGCACATATCCAAGTGTATTGTGTAAATGAGAGTGTGATCAGGGCATCATGCCAATGAGGGCACATATCCACGTGTACTGTGCAAATATGAGTCTGATCAGGGCATCCTACCAAAGGGGCCACATACACATGTTTACTGTGCAAATATGAGTCTGATCAGGTCATCACACCAATGAGGCCACATGTACATTTGTACTGTGCAAATATGAGTCTCATCTGGGCATCATGCCAACGAGGCCACATATCCACGTGTACTGGGTATATATGAGTCTGATCAGGGCATCATACCAATGAGGTCTCATATCCACGCGTAATGTGGAAATATGAGTCTGATCAGGGCAACACAACAATGAGGCCACATATGCATGTGTACTGTGCAAATCTGTATCAGACCAGGGTATCATGCTTATGAAGCCACATATCCACGTGTTCTGTTTAAATACGAGTCTGTTCAGAACATCATAAAAATGAGGCTACATATCCACGTTTATTATGTAAATGTGAGTGTGAGTAGGGCATCATACCAATGAGGCCACATATACACGTGTGCTATGCAAATATGAGTCTGATCAGGTCATCACACCAATGAGGCCACCTGTACATATGTACTGTGCAAATATCAGCCTGATTAGTGCATCATGCCAATGAGGCTACATATCCACTGGTACTGTGTAAAAAAGATTCTGATCAGAGAGAGAGAGAGAGAGAGAGAGAGAGAGAGAGAGAGAGAGAGAGAGAGAGAGAGAGAGAGAGAGCATCACACTAATGAGGCCACATGTACATATGTACTGTGCAAATATCAGCCTGATTAGTGCATCATGTCAATGAGGCTACATATCCACTGGTACTGTGTAAATATGAGTCTGATCAGAGAGAGCATCATACCAATGAGGCTACATATGCACATGTACTGTGCAAATATGAGTCTCATCAGGGCATCATACCAATGAGGCCACATATCCATTTGTACTGTGCAAATGAGTCTCATCAGGGCATCATACCAATGAGGCCACATAACCACGTGTACTGTGCAAATATGAGTCTCATCAGGGCATCATGCCAATGAGGCCACATATATATGTGTACTGTGCAAATATCAGTTTGATCAAAGCAGCATGCCAATGAGGTCACATATCAACGTGTACTATCTAAATATGAGTCTGATCAGGGCATCATACCAATGAGGTCTCATATACACGTGTACTGTGTAAATATTAGTCTGATCAGGGCATCATGCAAATGAAGCCACATATCCACTTGTACTGTGCAAATATGAGTCTCATCAGGGCATCATACCAATGAGGCCACATATCCACGTGTACTTTGCAAATATGAGTCTGTTCAGAACAGCATAAAAATGAGGCCAAATATCCACGTGTATTGTTAAAATGTGAGTGTGATTAGGACATCATATCAATGAGGTCTCATATCCACGTGTACTGTGTAAATATGAGTCTGATCAGGGCATCATGCCAATGAAGCCACAGAACCACGTGTAATGTGGAAATATGTGTCTCATCCGGATATCATGCCAATGAGGCCACATATGTATGTCTACTGAACCAATATGAGTCTCATCAGGGCATTATGCCCACGAGGCTACATATCCACGTGTACTGTGCATATATAAATTTCAGGACATCATGTCAATGAGGTCACATTTCTAGGTGTACTGTTCAAATATGAAATTGATCAGGGCATCATAGAAATGAGGCCACATATACACGTGTACTATGCAAATATGGGTCTCATCAGGGCATCATGCCAATGAGGCCACATATCCACGTGTACTGTGTAAATATGAGTCTGATCAGAGAGAGAGAGAGAGAGAGAGAGAGAGAGAGAGAGAGAGAGAGAGAGAGAGAGAGAGCATCATATCAATGAAGCCACATATCCACTTGTACTGTGCAAATATGATTCTCATCAGGGCATCATACCAATGAGGCCACATATCCATTTGTACTGTGCAAATATGAGTCTCTTCTGGGCATCATGCAAATGAGGTCACATATCCACGTGTGCTATGCAGATATGAGTCTCATCAGGGCATCATGCCAATGAGGTCACATATACATGAGTACTGTGCAAATATCAGTCTGATCAAGGCATCGTGCCAATGAGGTCACATATAAACGTGTACTGTTCAAATATGAGTCTGATCAGAGCATCATATCAATGACGTCTCATATCCACGTGTACTGTGTAAATATTAGGCTGATCAGGGCATCATGCCAATGAAGCCACATATCCACTTTTACTGTGCAAATATGAGTCTCATCAGGGCATCATACCAATGAGGCCACATATCCACGTGTACTTTGCAAATATGAGTCTGTTCAGAACATCATAAAAATGAGGCCAAATATCCACGTGTATTGTTTAAATGTGAGTGTGATTAGGGCATCATTGCAATGAGGTCTCATATCCACGTGTACTGTGTAAATATGAGTCTGATCAGGGCATCATGCCAATGAAGCCACATAACCACGTGTAATGTGGAAACATGTGTCTCATCCGGACATCATGCCAAAGAGGCCACATATGTATGTCTACTGAACCAATATGAGTCTCATCGGGGCATCATGCCCATGAGGCTACATATCCACGTGTACTGTGCATATATGAGTTTCAGGACATCATGCCAATTAGGCCACATATCTAGGTGTACTTTTCAAAAATGAGTCTGATCAGGGCATCATACCAATGAGGCCACATATACACGTGTACTGTGAAAATATGAGTCTCATCAGGTCATCACACCAATGAGGCCACATGTACATATGTACTGTGCAAATATCAGCCTGATTAGTGCATCATGCCAATGAGGCTACATATCCACTGGTACTGTGTAAATATGAGTCTGATCAGAGAGAGAGAGAGAGAGAGAGAGAGAGAGAGAGAGAGAGAGAGAGAGAGAGAGAGAGAGAGAGAGAGAGAGAGAGAGAGAGAGAGAGAGAGAGAGAGAGCCTCATACCAATGAGGCCACATATCCACGTGTACTGTGCAGATATGAGTCTCATCAGGGCAACATACAAATGAGGCCACATATCCATGTGTACTGTGCAAATATGAGTCTCATCAGGGCAACATACAAATGAGGCCACATATCTACGTGTGCTGTGCAGATATGAGTCTCATCAGGGCATCATTCCAATGAGGCCACATATACATGTGTACTGTGTAAATATGAGTCTCATCAGGACATCATGCGAATGAGGCCACATATCCACGTGCAGATATGAGTCTCATCATGGCATCATGCCAATGAGGCCACATATCCACGTGTACTGTGCAAATATGAGTCTCATCGGTGTATCATGTCAATAAGGCCACATATACACGTGTACTGTGAAAATATGAGTCTCATCAGGTCATCACACCAATGAGGCCATATATACACGTGTACTGTGCAAATATGAGTTTTTTCAGGGTATTGTACCAATGAGGCCACATAAACACGTGATCTGTGCAAAAATGAGCCCCACCTGGAGACTGTATCAAGGCAGTCACACAGCCGCGTATATTTTGCTAACGTATAAACACTCAACGCATGAAAGACATCCATGACAACACGAAATGAGGCTGGTCCAAGTGTCAAACTATCTGTGAATTCACTGGAGTTGTTTAACAGCGTTATCTCACGAGCAGTTTCGGATTTCACTTAAATTTAGGTCTGCTCCCTGCCTATTGGAGTCAGTTCTTTCCAGATGCATGAGCATGGTGCTGCTCCTCCCGCGTCCAGTGTCCTTGAGGCAATATATCATCTGTAGTATGAACACCAAATAAGTCTTCTATTTGGGTACAAAATGCGACTGATAGTTACTGGTGGCAGAGGTGCACGTGAGAAAATCTTTGACCAACAAGGTTAAGCGAGGACCTTGAGATTATGAAACAATTTCTAGCCTGGTTCTCTGCAATTCTTTTGTTTCAAAAGATTCGCAGACAATTAATTAACTTGTGTTTCTCGTTGTAATAATCCAATAAGAAGCTCTATGTGTGCGTGTGTGTGTGTGTTTGTGTGCAATTTTGAGATGTAACGTAGCTTTAACACTTTTTCCGTCACATCTATCAGATATCTGCAGTGCGGCAGTTTACAGTGATATTTTGCACAGGGACTTCATGCCGCAGACACACAGCATGATGTCCCACCCAGTTACATTATCCTGACAACAGACTAATGAGTCTCAACTCTATCTAACCTCTTGCTGATCGCTCTAGTGAGACGGCTGTTAGTCATTTTTGACATTGGTATGATTCAGACGGAGTTCGAACCCACGACCTCCCGCTTCTGAAGAAGACGCTCTAACCACTAAACTACTGGAGCGGTTTATTTGGTTGAGAGAAGCTGGGCATCCTAAAAAATTGCGGACGAACATTTAGCTAGATGAAAGTAGAACAGATTCTTATCAATTATATGTGTTTAGGACGTCATTTGGTTAATCATATTTGGTATAACGTATTCATAATAATACAAAAGCGTAATTACAAAATAACAATATTCATTTGAACTAATAAAAATAAAATAATTGCAAGGTCTTTTTTTACTTTTAGTTAAATACGTTTTTAGGGGGTTTCAATGACCAGATGATGATTGACCTCGGTGTTATAGCCCCAGCTGAACGAATAAAAAAAAATGAGTGAAATAAATTAAGGCGGAACAACATGATCGCAATTTAATTTTTTTAAGAAAAGAAAATTATATAGGGCCAATTGTAAGATGTACCACCGACCGAAAAATAAATTAACTGAAAGTTCCAAAATGCGTGTCTTTCATAATTTAATTAATTGTTGTTGTTAAAGCTCAAGAATCAACATAGATTGTCGGTTGGCGTCATCTTTAATTGTAACGCTTTTGGATTCCCAAATACCTACTGATGCTTCACAAAGTTGCTGGTGGCTTCACTCTTTCGTCCAGTCATTTTTCATGGTCTTTTAGTCCCTTATATTTAGTCGTAGAAAATATTTTCCTGTTAGTTTTGAGGTTATTTCTCTTTTCATTAGAAGAACCATTTTTATAGCCCCGGTTACGTGTCTCATAGTCTCTCAACTACATATCCTTAAATAACCTTTAAAAGGGCCTCGCTCGCTCGAAGAAGAAAATAAACAAGCAAATATAAAAAAAACACCCAAACAAATAGACTTCCTAAATTTGTTCTGTCATTTTTAAAACACGAGACTGCGCCTGCAAAACATAACACAAACTATTAATTGTCCAATCAAATCTCAGTTTATCTAACAGCCATTATTACATCTCGCCAATACAGGGTTTGGAAAGTTCTACATTCTCTTCTTCCATGATACAGCGATCTCTGAAACATTTCAACTTATCCCACGTTTCAACAAGTAATAACATTGTCTCTGTAACATTTTATTTCTTGACCATTTCGATAAGCAAAATCCAATATTCTCACCTGTCCAGTTTAGCTTGACAAAGTTATTTAAAGAAACATTATTATTAATTAATCAAATTTCATAAGATGTGCTCAAATGCTACCATCTTTAAACATGCCACGGATTTAACCGAAATCGAATACATAAATTTGAAAACGTCTATATGTTACAGTGACATCGCTCTGTTATATCGCGTCTACACTGACATGTATTAATGATCCACTGATAATTTTGGCGCTCATTGCGGTGGTGGGATTGGGCGGGGGCAAACCGTGAATGTGTCCTTTGTTGTTCATTTAGTTTATGCATCTAATTGTAACATCTTTTCATTCATATTTATTTAGCGGTGAAAAGGCAATTTGGAAGATCCATACATTTAAATCGCGTTAAACACACCACATCAACAATATCAACAACAACAGTACACTGATGTCAGTAGTCAACATTTCTCTTATGTTTTGGTTGAACAGATTTGTAATTTCATTAGTGGTAGTAGTTTTAATTAGTTATGTTCTCATCTCTTTGCATTTAATAAAACAAAACTAACGAATGAGTAAGTCAAACAAATTAGAAGTGTCTATTAAATTTAAGTTTGATTTTAAAAGATTTGTATTCATGAAAGAAAGTTTAAGGAAGTGGACGATAATTTTGGACATTTCTTCTTAATAACAAATATATAAATAACGTTATTTATAACTAATCTATATTGTATTTGATATATGTAGCTAATTGAGAGATGTGAATAGAGCTTTTGCCTACTCAACATTTAGATGAGTTTCATCGATGGTTGTGAATGGAAATTTGCCTCCTAACTTTTGTCATAGTTTTAAATAGTAAACGGGGCGTTTGCTGGAATTCGAGTTTAAAGCTTAGATAAATTTTAAACGGAAATGTTTCGTTTCTCAGAACATTTTATTGCAACGTAATTCATGTGAAATATGTAGAAATAGAAGTTTGATAAATATTTATTCATTCCTGTTTTAAATCGGTCTATGAAATCATTTACAGTTGTGTTCATATTTAATTTGAAAGAAATTAGTTATTTAAATGATTAAATTAAATTACAAAGTGCTAATTGACCTAATGGACTAAAATACTATTTGGGGATTAATGAAAACGCAGTCAAATGCTTTCTTTATTGTACCATTGTGGTACATCAGTTCTGTTTCTTTATTTCATTCAGTAGCAGGTGAGCTCATAATCAAATTCACGTATGCGGCGAGTATGGATGGGTAGTAGTAGAGGTCAGGAGTAAGGTAGGTGACCTACTGATTGTTGGATTTTAGTCATAACCAGTTCTTTAGTGATAATATTAACATAGAAGCCTCTCCTGTTAAACACAATTTACAGGTATTTGAATTCGCGCCACTTGGGGCAGTGAGCTAAGAGGCATATTATAATATAATAGTTTAAACCACTGACGAAATAATGAACAATGCAACTTACCGAATATGTACATTAAAGAAGTAAGACCTGAAAGAACGAGAAGGAGCGTGGAAGAATTCCAAAAGACGGTGTCTTCGTCTGAATGATTGATTGACTGACTCGAGAAGCTAGTTTTGAAGCTTGTGAATCCTTTCAAGTTGAGAATTTTTTTTTAAATGTATCGCTGAGCAGTAATCAGTTGTTAGAAGTATATAAGCATTATAATTAATAATTCCGGAATCGTTTATCAACTAATGTTTTGTTGTTCTAAGCAATTAATATTTTATGTGAGTGACCAAGACACACTGTCTACTAGTTTATTCCGCTTAAAATATCCACCAAAACAGTCGTAAAAGCTTCTCATAGTTTACATTTTCAAATAGTACTATAGCTTCTCATTACATTTCCAACTGTCTTATTATTAATGTACAGTGGGATGTATGTTTTAACTCTGCGAATTTCTTTTATAATATTCTCATAAGCATGCATTTTGTCCTGTATTCACATCTTATCGTCTTGATTTGCTCAGACCACTCGTCCAGTGATGCACGGTCTGAATTTATCTAACATTCCAGTGAATAGACATTACGTCTTTATGAAGAAATTGATTCATCATCTGCAAACATGTCCGTATTTGTATGTTGAGTTGAGAGTGGAAGACATTGATCAATGAAACATAGAGAAGGGAACACAGTACAGATCCTTGAGGAACACCTTGCCTTATATAATAGGGGGTAGAATAGACATTTCCCATAAAGACGTGTTGCTTCCTATCAAATAAATTTGAATTAAACCAGTCTTTTGTAGGGTTGTGAAATCTACAGCAAGATAGCTTTCTTAGGTAAATGTCTTGCAAAACTAAATCAAAGGATTTCATAAAATCTAGAAATGCCATTACAGTTAGATGCCATGCACATATGTATGTATGTATGTATGTAAGTAAGTATGTATGTATGTATGTATGTATGTATGTATGTATGTATGTATGTATGTATGTATGTATGTATGTATGTATGTATGTATGTATGTATGTATGTATGTATGTATGTATGTATGTATGTATGTATGTATGTATGTATGCATGCATGCATGATATATATATATATATATATATATATATATATATATATATATATATATATATATATATATATATATCCTCCATCATACAATGTAGTACAATGTTACTGATAATTTCGAGATATTTAAAATCATAATTTTGGCTCCTCAAACTTTGGGGTATCCGAAATGCTTTTCTATGTGCTCATTAATATCCGGACTGAAAGCATTGAAGTGTAACATTTTAACAGCCAAATTGACACCGTCAAACAGAACTGTGATCTTTCTATTTGACCGCTTGCGTTCGAGATTAAACAGCCTTCTTTCCTTATCAGATAGGCATTCAAGCAAGATATTAAATATTGGTATTTTTATTTCGGACTTTTTAAACGCCGGCTAAATGTGACTTATTTGATAGACAATGCTTTAAGAAATCCAGCTATCATACATCATCCCACGTCTTTCCAGTTGCAAATTCTCTTGTAACTTTTGCATCTCGATAAAACAAGCAAACGACTCCGTTATTATCATCACAAAGTTCTAAACACATCGTGCTGTACGAGTTTGGTGATTCAGTCTCGATGACCTAATTCAGTCAATCGCTTTTAAATAAAGCTGATGTTTGTTTGCGCTTCTAACCTTTAGATTGCTACATATCGTATCGGTTAGGTTACTTTCTTACTGTTGAACTTTTCTTTAATATTTAATATTACTACTATTAATAAAAGCCGTAACTTGGTAAGTAGTGACTTTAAGAAATTAACATCGGAAATCGGACAGTCACGTGACAAAAAAAGTATAATAATTCAACATTGTTCATACAAGCACAGCTTAGAGGAGCATTGGTAGAAGGATATGGCATTCCTAATTTGGGATAAATGTAAGTAATTAATAATGTGATTCAAATTCTAATACGAACGCTTTCCCCACACGTACGCCGGTGACTCTTTTGACAACTATACCTGACTATCGTTTCTATGGATTCAGTGTTTATAACGTCCGCCTCAGATGCGGGGAGTCGTGGGTTTTGAGCACCGGCGGAGTCATATTAAACACTTATAAAATGGTACTATCAGATACGTTGCCAGGAGCTCGACCTGGCATCAATACAATATGACTGCGAGGGACATGCTAGATGTCTACAGGATGATAACCCAACGCTAGACAATACTATAAACTGCTACAATGCAGACATCATAGCGATATTGCTGAAAAATTTAAAGTTTCGCTAAAAACGTAAATCACACACACACACACACACACACACACACACACACACACACACACACCTCTATGTCTATAAGAGTAAAGGGAGACAAAGGAAACCGAATCCACTCTACCTAGTGACGTGTGTGTTAAAGGGTGATTGTGCAGTAAAGAGTGACAAGAAAAGTCGATATTCTACTCAAATTAGCAACATCAAGCGAAGAATCCCAATAGTGGATGAAG